GATGCTCGAGACTTCGTCCTCCGATCCCGCCTCGAATGAAATGACAGTTTGGGCACACCATCCTGCCGAGAGATAGGCCAGTTTGCTCTCTATTTCTTTTTTTTTTTCATTTTTTCTTAGCCCTCTCTCCCCTAACCATCCGAACTATGCTTGTTGCGCGACTTTCAATACCTTAACGAACCAGAAGGTCGCCTTTGAACTTAGTGAAAGCTCGACCAAAGATAGGCAATGACAATGTTCACTGCGTAAGATATCCGATACCGGAACTGTACTCTATTTATTCCCTTGGCTTGTGCTAGGCTGGGGTTTTGAGTAGTGAACGAGGATTCTTTACAGCCAGTCTTAACCATATAGTTTAGTGGCAGGATTTGACCTTCACTCGCCTATTACTGTATATTCTATATTTAACTTATCTTTACGAGATTTCAAGTTGTTGGGACCCTTTGTCCATCAATCATCATCCAATTCCGGATTCATCTTTCTTACTAAGCACTTTGCTTTCAGTCCGCGAGAGGCGACTTGACATTCCATATGATGCCTTACGACACGAGAATCAAATCAGGTTACCAACATCAGCTCCAGCTGACTTGGCTGTTCCAGTCCCGGTAGAAGAGATAGAGCCCAGTTTTCAATCCGCCTATGGGTTATCGAGACTAGGAATAGTGCTAAGACCTAAGAGAGATTATCTCACCAAGCCGATTTTTCCACTTCGACTTTGATTTTATCCGTCTAAAGTTATTTATGCCGGAGAGTAGGATCCGGACAAGGATACCAAACCTTTTGATCGGTATACGCCGGTCTCTAGGGAAGTAGGTTGTATAAGGCAGGGTTCCAAACCTTCTTACTGAGACTTACCTTCTATGTAAGGCTAGGTTCGGAATTCAGTTTTCGGACAATCAGTTGATCTCTATGTATCCTTAAGGGCGACTTGGGTTCAAGCCGGACAAAGCAGGTAAGGTAAGGTTTGAAGATACTCGACCAGAGGGGATTGACCGACGTGCTACTTGTGCACCAGACTCTTGACTTGCTAGGAAATGGCTAGGAAAAACAGCGGGAAAGTTCTCTTTTCTATGACTTCACTTCGCTTCGTTTGTTGGGTCAAGAACAACAACAACACGGATCTACTGACGGACGGCGTACTCACGCGCTTCGACGCAACTGAAATGAGCACCTCTTTTTCTCTTGCCCATTCACCGCCACCATTTCCAAAACGGCCGCAAGAATCCATTTTGCATTAGAAAGAATCAGATGTTTTCACTCGCTTTTTGATTCCTGCTCCTTCACCGCATGCCCTCCAAAAGAAGCTACATGCAGCTTGATGAGGATCCATACTCTTTGATTCAAATGGATTCACCATATCTATCTTCTTCCAAAAAGCTTGGTCAATTGTTGGCTTCATCCCCTCCTTTAGAAAGAATGAATGCTTCTCCTCCTTTCACTTTTCTTTTGGTTAGATCACGTAGATTCGGAGAGATCTCTTTTAAACTTCTTTCTTTAAGGAAAAGTCACTTCGCTCGGCTGACTGCCTGCACCGAGCGTAGAGTCTGTGGGAGACCTTTCCTCTCCGGGACTGAACTTCGCCAACATCAAACCTTTAAGCCACTTTCTTTGATAGAGAAAAGCCAAAGCAATAAATCATCGCTTTTAAGGGCGCGAGAACCCGGACCCCTTGTGGTCTATCAGGAGTCTCTTTGTGGTAGTAGTGACCAAGCCGCCAAGCTCGTCGCAGAAGCCATGACCCAGTGCTTCTTTGACCCGCAACGGTCCATCCCACTTGGGCAAACGAAGCGAAGCGAAGTGAAGTCATAGAAGCTTCTGTCTTACTGGCTTGGGCTCCATTTTCTTACGTTTCAGCATCATTCGTCCTTTCGCTTAATAGCTGTCATTTCATCGATCGAGAAAGCTCCAATAGGCGTCTAATAGTCCGTTAGGCGAATGAAAAGACATAGAAACCCGCTTTCCTCTAATTACTTGGTTCGCATATTCCTTGCTGGCTCCCAGAGTGGAAAGCTCCCCGTGATATTCCTTGATAGGTTTTTGACTTCACTTCGCTTCGCTTTTAAATATGGTCGATGTAATTGAGTTCTTCTTTCGGAGTCAGAGATCGGAATCGGAACAGCCCAGATCTGATTCACGGGCAGAACCTTGAAAATAGCGCTATCGTTAGAGTCAGGAGGCTGCTAGAAGGGAACTGGAGAAGAGAAAGAAGAAGAAAAGCGGTAGGGCATTACTGTGCTTTGCTTATCAACCTTCTCGATACGACTACAAGGCACTGAGTTCTTTCCACTAGGCTGAAATAGAGAATAGGGAATCACTCGATGAAGACCTGGAGTGGTCGGGGTCCTAATAAGCCAGGAGGAACTTCGATGCACTCCTATTCTGGTTGGAAGTGGACATTAAAAGAAGAGTTTGAGCGAAGGGCCGAGGATAAGACTAGCTACTTTCGAAAAGTGTCCCTACTGCCGGGTATCTTTCCCCGGTGAGGCTGGTCGCCAGATTTCGTCACGAAAAGAAGAGAAGTCTAATTTCCCGTAGGAGATTCACCGAAGGTTAATTACATCAAACCTTGTGGGCGAATTCTACTTTAGAATAGACCAGCTGAAGATGGAAGAGTGAAAGGGTCACCACGCCTTATGACGAAAAGGGGATCTCCCCCACCCTCGTCAAGTGCTACCTCAAAGCAGGTTTCAATTCCACCGCTTCCTTAATAGTGATTATAGACCCGAAAGGGCTTGTAGAAGTTCGTGAAGAGGGCTGGACGAGTGGAATGAGGAATGGAATGACTTTTGACTAAGTCTCGAATCGAAGCGATAAGGTCCCAGCCAAGCCAGGAGAAAGAAAGTTCTTTCTTGCTCATGAGTTATCTCTTGCTTAACGAAGATATGGCTGTCCAGAGGAATAAGACTAGGTAATCTTCTTCAGAACGGGAGCTCGTGTGGAACCTTTTCTTTCAGGCCACGAGCTTATTAGAAGGACCACGACCTCTCCTGGAGAACCCGCGACCGGCAGACCGAAATGTAGTTATGGTCCAATGGAGATTGGACTACGAGTGAAGTGACTGAGGGTTTAATCCCCTAAGAACGAGCGATAGCCCTATCAAGTAAAGCGGTAAGGCATTAAGCTACCTCTTTTCGCTCCTCTAACGCCTTATTAACGTGGCTTTCGCTCCTAACGAGCCAGCTAGTCCCTCCGGGTGGGTGAACGGTGTAGCTACGGGTCTACTGGTCTACAGAAAGAAGGGAACGAGCCAGCAAGGGTAGCTAGTGGGAGGGAACGGTACTAACGGATAACCAGTCGTCACCCCTAATCGAAGGAGCCAGCCAGCCTATATGACAGAAAGGCGAAGTAGGAATCGTGACCCCCTGGGGCATTGTCTAACCTCCTAAGCGAATGGGTGGCAATAAATAGAGTAAAGGGAGCAGTTGATCGCTTGAGTGCTTGAGCGGTTTCAGGAGGGAATGAGCTGGTAGTGAACAGGTACGAGCGAATAGACTAACTTCCCTAACTACATGAGCGGATGAACGAGCGAGGAAAGCAGGAAGAGTGAACCGGTGACGCAAGGGAAGCCCTAGAAAATGGAAGCGGAAGGTAGGCATACGAATATTCTCTATTGGGGCTAACTCCTAACCGCAAGTCTACAAGCTAGGAAGCTCAGACTTAGCCTGCAGAAGTCTACCGGTTTAAGGGCCTCAATCCCAACGAGGGAACTGGGCAGTATACGGTGAGCTGATCCACATGTCTAATTCATCACGTATATACCCCCCGGGTCCCCCAACAGTAGCGGTGCTCCGAAGAATCCGAAGACTGCTGGGGATAGACCTTGACCAGAGGTCGACAGATAAACTCCCATGAGATTCCTTGAAGGACTGAAGCAGGGAAGTTATCCATCATTATACGTCATTTGTCCAAGTGGTAGAACTATAAGGGTCGATTACATTGAGAGGCTGCTAGTTCTCAATTACATCGACCCTTGGTAGTGAGTTAGAAGAACCCTGAGGTCTCAACGAGCCTATGACGATGCCGGTAAAGCAGGGTTCTAGCTACCTTTCCTATACCAGGCAGGCAGTGCATACAGGCGACCAAAGGGAGGAAAGTGCCCGTCTTTTTTTGACATTCGAGAAACCGGAATTACTTAACTTCTTTTGTTTTCACCTCAAAAAAGCGCGTATTTTTGGGATTCTTTCCATAGTAGGAATTTGACTAGTGCTATGTTTAACACACCCTTACTATGGTTTTCATTGATTATTTATGCTTTTTCTCTTCGGAAAACTATCTGATTTTACGTAAAGATATTAGAACTCCCTACCTACTTGAACGACCAGGTTCGACAAACCATCATAACCACGAGGGCCGCCTATCCTCTGCTTCACCACCCCAAGCTTGCGTGAGAGAAAGAAGAGAGTAACTGAGAATTGACTAGAAAGATTCATTAAGAGCGAACAGGAGGTAACTTCAACCTAACTTGAACCCAAACCAAAAGAGAGAATCTCAAAGGGAAATCTCTTTTCATTAAAGGAGGCGTCAGTGAAACGGAGGAGTTAGAACGGAACGGAGGCATACTATCAGGAGCGGAAGGAAGTAGCATCGTAGTAGCTGCACGACTAGGGACAAAGATTTGAAGTTCCAGCATCTTCCCGAGAGCAGGATAACATACGTAAGACGAGAAGTTCACTTCTTATGAACAGGATTCTTCTATTACTTCACTTCGCTTCGCTTCTAAAGTTTGGTCGATGTAATTGAGGTCAAGTAAGGAATTGTTCATTTTATAGGTTATTTATGATAGAGTGGTCCAACAAGTCCGAGCACTATCAGCAGAAATGAGCACGTACAAATGAACCAAACTCTCAGGCTGAACTTAGCACTACGAGCTCCCGAGAAAGGCTTTTATTATGCTTGCCTGAGAAAGATCTTTTTCCAAAAGTCAAATATATAGAACTTCCACTTCCGAATAAAAGAATCCGTATAGAATCATCGCAGACAGCTGAGCCCACAATGGCATTTCGGGAATGTCCATATAAGGATCCTGCCGTGCCACTATTTCGAGTAGATGTGAAAAGAAAGGTAAGGTTGAAAAGGTAATGGGGGACTCTATAGCTACCGATTACGTAGACCGACGCCTTCCCTCAATTACATCTACCCAACGAACGAAGCGCAGTGAAGTCATAGAAGAAAGGAGAGGAGAAGAAGTGAGACTAACAGAACGAAGGGAAGCAGAGCGAAGTTCGGAAAAGATCATGTAGCAAGAAAGGATTGCATGACTTTCTTTCTTCATTTTTCTTTCGATCTTCGCTAGTGGGTAGGGATTCTCGCCGCGACCCGGATAATGCTTCCTTTTTGACGATGCCGGATCGATGCCAATGCCCACCTCTTTGGGGAGCCAACGAGTCCACCCAAATTCTGTACTGATTCGCTCGCTTTGTCCACCTTCGCCTCTTCAAGTTGGCTCCTTCTCGAAATGACTAAAGTCTGACCAAGACTGGTCCTTCGTAGTTCTTTCGCCTTATCTGGCTCGTAGATGGCTCTTGGAACTAGTGGTTAACCATTCCTACGCGAGACCATCGTTTATTAAGAATGAGGCTTTTCCTGGGCTCGTACGAAAGTCTCTGTGAGTAGTTCCCCCGGCTAGACCAGTGCCAATAGTTAGAGTTTATACTCCTTTTTCAGGCCTTCGCCTTAGTCCAAAGGGATGATTCTGTCAAGAAAAGAATTCGTTACAAATAAGGGCTGGCTCATAACCTTGAGGTGAAGGGATCAAATCCTATTTCGGGAGCTGCCGGTATTCAAATAAGCTGCTGCAAAGAATGATAAGTGGGTCTCGCTCTCCTAATCAGTCGTTAGCTTATCCATCTCTCTTTTTATCCGGGCTTCTTCCGCTTTAGCTGAGGCCGATGCCCCTATCTTTATTCTGATCCGCCCCTAAACAATAGCAATAGCACGAATCCTAAGCTACGGCACGCGAAGGAATGGTTCCATGAATCATGGGTGGAGGCGACAGGGGGATTGGCTGGCTTACTATGGGGAAGGGGAGAATCACTAAAAAAAGTCTAGAGCTCCCCTAGGGAAAGTATTATACCTCGTTGGACCGTATTCGCTACTAAAACGTAGCCCTCCTCCGCCTTCGTTTGAGGAAGCAGGTATTCGCCTACGAGGTCTTCACATAACATAATAGGTTGCCAAAATCCTTATTAGGAAGAAGATTTGGACAAATCCCCGGTAGAATTAGCTAGCAAGGCTAGGCACCTAATGCATGTGAGGGTAAAGGAAGTATCTTTGACACGTATGAGTAGCAGAGCGGAGTAACGGGGCAAAACGATTCGACAGTTGATGCCGCTTGAACTAAAGGACTGAGCAATGAAAAAGGCATTTAGGCCATACCGAGGTCAAATCTCATCTTAGTCAGATCATAAGATATCCCACGAGAAGATGTTCTCGAATAGGCAGGCTGTGAGGCAACAATGGAATCCGCCTTCCCTGATTCCGATGCTGTTGAGCGGCGGCTGGTAGTGAAAGGAACTGACGATCTTGGCTTAGATGGCTTTGCTCCTGGGGAACATCATTTATCGATAGTCAAGGTACCCGAAGTTTCATGAGCAGACCATTATAAACATTCGCCGGAAAAAATTCCCGGAATATATGAGTATATGTATAATGCCTAATATTTTTGACTACTTCTCTTTTTACGGCCTGTGATACCGGAGCCTCAACATCCCTTGGCCTAAGAGGATTGCAGACCATAGGTTGTTTCAGGCAAATCTCAGCCACATCAATTTGGGTCACGATAGTCAGTGTCTTGGGAAGAAAGAAGCCTTCCTTTGCTTTGGGCCTCTTCCTTAAGCAGCCATTCATATCGTGTGGCCCGGTCATAGAGATAAAGGAAAACCTCCCCCACAAACTTTGCTACGCCCTTAACTCTTGAACAAGGAAGGCGGGGGCGCGTCTGGTGCTATCATATATAAGGGAAAGGTTCCTTTAGTGATCTATGCCTTATATATGCCTTCCTCACTCCTAAAAGGAAAAAGACCTAGCCTAATCAGACAATAACATAGTATATATACTTTTTTTTTAGCATTCCTACACAAATTTATGTACTTTCTATAACTTATAACAAGGCACACCATTTAACTTACCGTTACCGTGTAATACAATCAATACAGTAGTAAATAGCTTGTGATTCGGAGTTGTCGACCCGTCATTTCCAGTCGAGTCAAGCATCCCCCTCTTCATCGCAGTCGCTCAAGACGTTGTATCGATGGAGTGAGATCAGGGCTTCTCCCTCTACCCGAGCGAGGGATCAGTAAGCAAGCGGGCGAACCACATCTGTTCCAATTCCAGAGGCTTTCTCCGATCGAAGTCGAATCCAATGGCCATCGATTCCTCCCCGGAATCGGTTTTTTGCTCGGGCTGTAAGGCGATGGTTCGAAGACCCGGTCAATGAAGCGAGATTGGGAATGAGCAGCTAACCAATCTCATTTATAAGATCAGTCCAGCGGTTCAATTCATTTATTCATCTATCTATCGGATTAGTAACCCACCCCGAAAAATCTTTTGTATCGAACGAAAGCCTCATATATATCCCTATACCGGAAGCGAAGCTTCTGGCTCCCCCTTTGTTGTTGAATTTCCAATTCCTTCTTTCTTCCGAACCAGAAAGATCCAAGGGAATCAACTGCCCGCTCGCTTTCCTCTCTTGATGACCCCGTTTGGCTAAACTTCTGATCCCATTCCCAAAGATCTATCTAAAACATCGTCGATACGAGACATATTTGCAAAATAAAATAGGCACCAAATCGTATATATTGCATTTGTTCTTTATCGTGAGGAAGATTCGATTCCAGTTTTCTTGGTTGGAACTCAATCAACTCAATCTTTCGAATTTCCCCTTGCCGCTCTTACTTAACCAACTAGGGTTACCGGCTTCAGGTTTTCTTTCTTTGGAATGGGATGTCTCGATCCCGCAAAGATCTCAGGACAATCTCGTTTAACAATTAACAACGATAGAAGAACCCCACTTTTGTAACTCTCTTTCAATATCTGAGCGGGAACTCGACCCCTCGATCTGATATATGAAAAACCATAGTTTGGCAGGTCTCGCGTGTGATTCATCATAAAAAGAATTCCTGGTGGCTTCGTTGGAACTAAATCTACACTTCTTCACCTGAAGCTTTTCTTTTACCAAGTTTCCAGACTATCTGTCTTATCTCGTTGAAGGACTGGAAATTACGATCCCTTTTTCTCTTGACTTGCCAGCTTCTGATCCCAGGACTGGTACTCCGCCCTTTTCCCATCCCCTCACCGATGGTATAGTATAGCTACTAACTATCTCAGCTCCTTTATTCTATCTTCCACCGAGAAGACGGAACTACAGGAACGACTCGAAGAATGGAGCCCTTCCTGAAGACTACGCTTATGAGCTTTATTTACCATATTTCTCGACCTCACTTGGAAGAACAACTCCCTTGCTCGCTCTTTATTTGCTGAATCCCAAAACCCATTGCCCGAGACGAGCTACTTTATTATACGGTTACACCAGAGGAACTACTGGAAGAATGGCTGCCTGCTCTTTGCCTCCTCTACTCCCATCCCCAACCTCGCTCCTGTTGTTATTCCCAAACCAGAGATCGAAATCCCAGATCCGAGGGAAGATCGACTCGCTTGACAGTGACAGCTTCAGACCCAGACTCGCCAACCCGACTCCTCTTAGCCAAACCGGAAAGAACCTGGGAATACCCGCTTGCTTTGTCTTTGCCGGCTGCTTTCCGAAACCAAGGGAATTTCCAAGATGGAGATCGACCAATGGTATAGCTACTCCCTTTCCTTCTTATTCTATTATTCCACCGAGAAGGGAGAACAACAACTACTGGAAGAATGGCTGCTTCCTCTACAACTACATCATAAGAAGAAGGCAAAAGGGGAAGGTTCGATGTAATTGACGACCTCTACCCCATCAAGCAACGACTACTGGAAGCTATCAACTCGATTCTCTCTATTGAACTTTGACCTCTGTTTGCTGTGTTCCCGTGTAGTCCTTCTCATATAGGGGGCTCAATCAGAGCTGGTAGAAGCCCTCGCGGCAGGTCAAAACTATCGAGCCTTTCATAAAGTAACGAAATCTGGTAGGAATGGATACAAGACTATGACTATGTTATGTCTAAAAAAGGAGGAATGCGGCAAGAAAGCATGCGGTACTAGGACCGGACATAGTATCTAAATGACAAAAGGCGATATTGGATCCTTTACTTATGGTCATCCATTGGGTCTATCTGTCGTCTAACTGTCCTGTATAGGTCCCTAATCAATCCCTGGTGCTTTTCTTTTGGTTGAACGTCCTCGTTCCTAATCCGCCTTCACCTAATGCCCGAGCCTCTACCTCTCAAAAGAAAGAAGGAGTACGATATGTAAGGCATAAGGAGATGGATGATTCACCTCAAGAGCTTATAGGGAGATGTTGATTGTGGGCTAAGCCGAAAGTAAGACGCAGAAGCGCTCCAGGAACGTAGGCCCGGGAGAATACTTCCTTTCTCCATAGGAATGGGTGCACTCTGAATTGGTAGGTGTCGTTTTTAAATAATGGCTTTGTGATCCGCGAGTATAGGTTGAACTTATGTCAGGGATATTGGGACAAAGGGGCACTCAGAAAGTGTTAAAGACTATATTTCATTTATTAACGATCACCTCTCGGGTGCGGTAGAGTGGACGATTAGCGAGGACTGGTTCAGAGCGTCAGTCGGCTAGCATTCTTTTAATTTCACTTAATATTAATAATAGGCACAAGCTTCCGTCTTGTTGGTTCGACCAAAGGCATCGGGTAAATGGGATCCAGGTAAATGGCTTACTGTTCGGTCAACATTTCATGATTCGTAACGTAACAGCCGGCCGGGAGGGATAGAAGGAATAGGCGAAGGCAAGACTGAATGATTCATAAATCATAGGCAGGGGGTTGAAAATCTCAAACTAGGTTGGTCGAAGAATAGGAGGCTCGATGTAATTGACCTGCTATGCCCTCTTATTCGAGTCCTTTTATTGTGCAAGTATACACGATGGAAGCATCCCAAGCCCAACATAGTTCCGATTACACAGGGATGCCCGAGAAGCCATCTTCTTCTATCTCCGGTGCCAGGGAAGGTTCGAAGTCAATGGAAGCTATCGATGGAAGTGACTCCGTATAATAAGGAAGTGGACCGGGCGCTACTAATATCATTTCAGTGCCAAGCGGAACCAAGGTGATCAGATGCTAGCTCCTATTCCCCATTGGTAGGGAGTTCGAGCAAACAATGGACCAGAACTTGATATGGAAGCAAGTTGGCCAGTAGTGGCTAAGCAGCATTGAACGAGGCTCCACCATCTTCTATTGCACCACCAGAGGCGAGGGAGGTACCAGCCAACTATCAATCTCTCAATCTATTTCCAAATCTCGTTACTAAAGCTCTTCCTCCTTCACCGGAACTCTACAACTTGTCTTCTCTTCACCAGTACCAGTATCTGGTCAATTACATCGACCCTTGCCTTACGGCCTTTCGCCTTACGACTTTCTCAGGAGCTCGAGAAGCCCTACCTTGAAGCGCCCCCTCTACCTATCCTTTATCTTGGGGATTACCCTCATTCCTTTCCATATCCGAATTGTTTTATGGGATCTGTTGCAGTCAAACCTTCGTTTACATAGCCTCGCTCATCTGCACCCCTCACTAGTTAAGCTTATCTTATCATTCTTCTGTTCTGATCTTTTTCCACTCCTGGCTTCCAAGGTCTAGCCTGGACCTCCGCCTCGACATTCTCAATCAAAAAAGAATCTACTTCCGACTTTCGGAACTGACTTTCTTTCCCGCTCCGCGCCTTAGCTGGCACAGCAGAAAGAGTAGCTTACTGACATTGGCATAATACTATCCTTTGCTTTACCATCCCTGTAATAGCTCTCACTCTCATATTGTTTTTCATTGTAGTAATATATCTTTCCAGGTTAGGGTTTTAGGTCAAAAATGGAGTTCTTCCCCCTAAAATCTGTCCCAACGGTAGATCCGAAACTTCTTTCCCTCCTTTTTTTTGGAGTAGGAAATCGATTCAATGAAAAAGCTACAAGATCAAGAATGAGGAACGGATACAAGAGGGGTTTGACAGCTCATCGAGCTAAGAGGTCTGTCGAGCCTTTATCCGCGAGTTAGGAGCGAAAGTTTAAATTTCCTCTCTTAAGAAATTCTCGATTTGTTCCCAAATGGCCGAACTCCTCAGGAGCTTCATTTCGCGTGTGTGGGGCTGGAAGGGCACTGCAAGAACCCCTTCCTATGAGGTAATGGGCATTTCAGCTCCAGGTTTCGCTCGAGCATCTGGAACAACCGGATAACCATTTCATTCCGTACTTGGGGTCAACATTTGGAGATTGGATTTGTGCACCTTTCCACTAATATTCTAAGTTCTAGGGACAAAGGACTTCCACAACCGAACATTCGGATACGGGGTCTGCCTCCTCCCCTCTCTTGTTCCTGCCGAAGTAGCTACCCAAAAGGATAGGAGGGATCATAACTAGAAGGAAGGGTATTGGTTCAAGGATTGACATCCCCGCAGATTCAGATCCTGCTTCCGAAGCCGTATTTGGATCTTTATCTGATCGAAGGTATTCACCTTTGTATCAAGTAGAAATATGAATCTTCTATCTGGGGTATACCCCTCCCCCTTTCATATCATAAAAGAAAGTTTCAAAAAATCCCTTAGTCAAAAACCTCAGCTCTTGACCCCTCACGATAGATATGACCTGAAGCCTGGCTTAGTTGGAAGTTTTTATTGATTTCCCTATTGGGAAGCGCCCTGTACTTATTCTATTTATCTAAAGGATCTGCGCCTCTATCCCCTCGAGCAGATTCCACAACGGGATAACTACTTCAATCCGTGTTCAAATCTCTAAATAAAGATTCTGCTCGCGTTCCGTGTACAGTTTCACTAATAGCTCATCAGCTCTCGGGGTTTTGGACTTCCACAGCTGAACATTCGGATAAGTGCTTCTTCCCTTGTTCCTGCTAAAGTAGCTACCCTCTATCGATGGAGCTAAGCCCCTTGACATCGGCTCCTCAGTCTGATATGTACAGGTTTGAATCCTGCTTTGCTTATGAGTCTGAGGCATACATACCGCTTCCCTTGCCCTGTTCATGAGCCGAGGCTGCTAACTTTGTATTTGGATATGAGCTATTCCCCTGCCCTTAGCGTCCAATCTGACAAAACTATAGAGAAATTTCTACCTTTTTCCTCACGAAGCCGCTTTTGGACGAAATACAAGGATAAATCCATGAAATTTGTAGAAATCCATAATCAAAATCACTAAAAATAATGGTTTTTGAAATCAAGATTATGTTCATGTTCCGCGCCATCAATTCCTATTCACATCAGGAAGGGAAAGATCCGCCCAAAGGCCGCATTTTCCAACTTTTGACAATCACGAGAAAACTCTTGACTACAAAGACCTGTCAGAACAGCTTATTTTGGACTGGACCTACTTTTTTTGATCCTAAATCTGGCCTATTGCATAGTGCCTCAACTGATGACACTTTCGAGTCCTTTTGACCGAACTTTATTAATTTCGAGATTGGGTTTTGCCATTTCTTCCTTCTGACTTCCCTCAAGGGACTTCCCAGCCTGCAGGCCTTTAGCCCGAGAAATGGCTGACCAACCCTTCCCCCGAACCTATGAAGTACAGGACTAACAGATGAGAAATTGAGGTGAATCGCTACATCACTAATTCCTGTAGCCGATTTGCAGTCTAAAGAGCGAAGGGCATTGAAGGGGTGACTTAAACTACCTCTCTTTTATCCCATAAAGCAGCACTATTTGGCTGAAATCGCTAGCCTGGAAGTGACTTCTGCTCCCTACATAAGAATACGAATTGCTGAAGTTTCATTGCTTTTATCTCATCTTCTCTTTGATCTGTCCTTTACTGGAGATAGAAGAGGAAAAACGGATATAATGAAGGAGAGCTGAGTCGCGTAGCAGCGAAGAAAAGAAAGAAGCGCTGACGCTCTCACTTGAAGTCGAAAGAGCACAGCATCAACCAAGTAGCTCTAATCCAGAAAGAAATTGACTGGGTCGCTTTAACCATTCACCTGCTCTTTTGAATGATTTAGGAAGGAAGGAAAAGCCCCCATAGCTGACGTCAGAATTCTTGTCTTGGTTCCCTAACAAGGAGAGCGAAGTGAGACTCAAAGAACGAAGCGAAGTTCAATCTCTGGAGAGGAGAGAGGTAATTGAGAACAGGTTATTAATTGCTCACCCGACTCGTCCAATAAGTGTGTTTTCCATTGTCAATTTGAGAAGCTCATTGGGGAACTCTGGGCCTCACAGGATTCGAAGTTATGGCCTAGGGAAGAGAAAAACTTAAGTCATTCCTATACGCCGGAGAGGTTTAAAGAAGGGGTAGACCTTGCACCTTAAAACCAGGAAGGCCTGATTAATCCCTTCTAGGTGCTATTGAAAAGGATGACGTTTAGTACCTTCCCCGGTATTTGACTCAAAGTCGACCTACCGCTCCGTGGGTTTCCAAACCGTACACAAGAAAGAAGGCAGTTCATCTTCAAGTCTTTTATTCCCTGCGTGTGATCAGCTTTCTTAGGTAGGGATAGCTGCTTTAAAGAAAGAGCTCGGTTCCATTCCTTGAGGAGTATCCTCAAGTGCGAGTTTCGTAAGGTCTGAAATGAAGTTGTTTAATATTTCTTATCCGATAAGATAAGGTTCGACGAAGTTGAGAGATCAAGTATGATCCTTGCCTCTTCCTCCCAAGCTAGTAATAAAGCCAGTTACAGGTGGGGTCACTCCATTTGAAAGAGCTATTGAGTTCCCGCAGTAGTAGTGCCTTTTCTTGCCGAAGGAGGAGAGCAAAGTGAGACTTGGAGAACGAAGCGAAGCGAAGTGACGTCATAGAAGTTCGGAAAGGTGTGAAATGCCCGATACGTTAGGAAAAACCTGGACGAGTTTGTAAACAGATTGGCCAAGGGTAGAATAAAGAAGTATTGAGGACCTGGAGAATATGCTTCCGCACAAAAAGTGTGGTGGGAGACTGTTAGCAGAGCATAGGGCTTTTATCCGCCTAACAGAGAAGACCAAAGAACTCAAGCGAGCAAAAAAACTTGCGCGAAGGGCGTAGCGAATCACATAGAGATTGCCCCTTGGACGAGACTCTGGAAGAGTGGCTTTCTGCTGTGAATGGCTTCTTCTTCTATTCTCAGTTCGTGAGTAAGAACTTGTTGAAGTTGAAGTCAATCTGGAGTAGATCGATTCCCTCCTCTCCGAAGGAGCTCTTCGGGAAAGGCCGCTTTGCGTTGTAATGCGTCAGCTCTCTACCATAGAATTCGGCCTTCGGGTTGGGGCTTTGGAGAATCTTTACCACGGTCACACATCACACAGTTTCTTTTAGATTTAGAGAAGGCTTGGCTCTATTTATGCTATTTCCATCCACTTGGCAAGGACTATCAGGTCTCTACGAGATCCTTGGACTTGCTCAATCTCTTTCGAGCACTCACTTTTTTCATCTCATATAGCTGTAAAATCTGACTTTCATAATTCCCTTCGGAGAAGATAATAATAAGGGAGAGAAAGTGCCATTTAAGGCGTCTAATAAGATTGACTAAAGGGCTCGACTTCCCCGCTCTCTTCGCTAAAGGATCTACTTCGGCCAATACTATTTAGGGATCTTTCGCTTGTAAAAGGATGAATCACCCGTGAGGTCTTATTTACGCAGGTTTTGCTTACCAGGATTTGAAACTTTCTTTTCAGCTCAGCAAGAGAAGTGGTATACCAAAGACATTTGCACTTAAAGGGCAGCTGGTTTGGTAAATCCCTTATATCCTTTACGATCGGATCAAAGCGGGCTCGGAAGTACGCTCTGGCGGTGTGAAGGGAATATTTGATCGCCAAGTGGCACCACGTGTCTAAGCATCGAACTAGGGGTGCAATTTCGTCCTTGTGGACAGATGTGCGAAGGGCGTCCCCGTGTTTTCAATGCAGTTTCGAAAGTAGGCAGCGCTATTTGGCTCATGTTTCCGCTCCGTCTGTTAAAGGAATTGCGCGTCCGATCAACGTGTGTAAGCGTCCATCCTAGCCGGGGCATTTTACAAGCTCATTTTGAATAAAGAATTTGTCCAAAAGATCGGAAGTAGAAGCCATTCTGTCATCGGTTATAGGCGTAAAGTAGATGATTTACCCTTATCTTTCTTATCCAAAGGCGTAACTTCTCTGTAGTTTTGGCAGATTGGACAATCAAAGTACTTGATTTTACCGAAGCGATTAGCGATAGTTTGTCCGAAATTCGATGAAATGAAACAAGGACGAAAGGAGGGCTAAAGCCCATTTATCAGATTCATTCTCAGAAGGCTGGATAAGAACCATAGCACGTCGCTTTCACATATCTAAACCTTTCCTCTTCGCCGGCTGAAAGGAAAAGGGGCCAATACCGATGTGAACCAGAAGGAGGTGAGAAGTCCCAGTTAGCTACTCAATAATAGCTTCGGCACACTACACACGAACCATCTCTCGGAATTGAGAATTCAAGTACAAACAAAAAGTAGATATTTTGACTAATCCTAGTAAGAAAGGAAGAGCAAAATGATGCAAAGGCTTGCTTTTGTCCGTTAAACCTGGCATAGGGCGGCATTGTAGATCGGCTTTACTTTTCTCTTTCGCCAACATGGACCTTCTAATATCCATCTTCCTTCTTCTATTTTTTATAAGGCAGTTCTCCAGGAGAAGGTCCAAAGGTAGAAGATGTTGAGGGCATTCATTTAGATGAACCAAGTGAACAACAAAGTTGATATTTCTCTTCGAGGAACAAGTACTTCGCCTCCTCGGATAGAGCTAAAAGACTAGGAGCTTTCTTAACATACAAGAAGGAGAGGAGGGTTAAGAAAGAGAGTGAGTTGAATCCTTACTACTTATGACTTCACTTCGTATGCAGATCTCACCAGCAAGTACGCCTTGCCGAAGAATTTCAGACTGCCCTCCCACTCGAAGAAGTAGCAACCCTGGCTTGTTGGCTCGTACTAGCTTGCTTGATTGTTCACACGAGTAGCGTAGCGATCGTAAGAAGAAAGCATGGATGTCCGTCTAATCTAAGGAAGTTCGTCACATCGGCACAGGAGATAGACACAGGCGGTAGAGAGGTCCCCCACTTCGATTCCGTACCCTTTCTTCCAGAGAGAAGGAGGTGAAGGGCTTGCAAAACAAAGCCTGCCCATTGGGTAACTACTCGCCTCGTCCCTGGAAAAAGGCTTCTTTCCACGATCTCAAGTCTTGTTGGAAAAAAGAGAGCAGAAGGCACCACTGGAACTTGTGCATGCTTATCATGAATCCAATCTAGACGCCAAGTCCGGTCAAGAAGATGACCTGGAATGGCTAAGGCCGCCGGGCTTGCTTCTCTCCTGGACTGATGGCGGTTTATATAGTGGTCGGCCTTCCTACCAGAATGCCTTCTTGGTCGAAGAGCCACTTTACTAGTAAGGGCGTAGGAAGCAAAAAAACTTGCGCGAAGGACGTTTTCTTCTCTGCCTTCTCCTCTCCAAAGGCCAAGGTCTTACAAAAATGAAGAAAGACTTATCTCTTATTTTTTAATGGGTGCGCCTTGGTCCAACCAAGAAAGCCAATCCTTCCCTGAAAGAATCTCCCGGTGAATCTTTAGCTTGGAGAGAAAGATAGAGATCTGGAAGCCTTTTCTCCTACATTGTCCTTACAAGAAATCCGAATTCTATGGCAAGTATTCGCAGCAAGAGATTCTGAAGCGGTCACAAAGAGAAAGGTCAATTATATCGAGCCACGCTCAGATAAAGGAATTCCCAAGCATTAGCGGTTTTTTAACAAGTCGAAGAACAAGTTCTAAAAGACTTGAATCAAAAAGATCGCTTCGACATGTAGTTTGTCAAAAGCCGGAAGCCAATATCTTTTGTAGCTGGACAGCCCCTGTAGAACAGTGGGAATCTCATGGGAACCAATTCATTTCTATCATTTTCAACTAAAGTCAACTCAAAGAAGACCGAGGAGAGCAAAGTGTACGAACGAAGCAAAGCGAAGTGAAGGAAAGGAGAGCATCTTTCGCCCCAACTTTAGAAGCGAAGTGAAGTCAAAGACCATTTCTTTTTTATCTGTCTCCTGGCTGGCTCGAACAGCTAATTGCGTAGTTTATAGTGAGAACAAGCCTTTCTTTCAAAACCTATTCTTGCCAAGACATTCCGACTACACCGCTTCCCCTCAAAGACTGGAAAAAGAAAAGAAGTTCACTGTCCCAAAGAGTAAGACATCTAGCTAACAGCTCGTTGCTTTGACGGGGATATCTAAACAATATTCATTGCCTTCCTCCCCTGACTCGGACAAAAAGGCAGTTAGTTCACTTAGGGCAAGCAGTTCGTCGCAGCCTTTTCTTGTTCTTTCTCAATTACATCGACCAAACCTCTCCTCTCCTCGGATTTATAGTCGAGTAAGTACCCGCGCAGAACAGACTCGCCCAGACCCATTCTGTTTTTCACAGAAGAGACGAGCGAAGTGAGGTCAAATAAAAAGCAAACCTCCGGAAAGCGGGAAAGTACCTGGCAACTAAGAGCGTATTTAAACGGGTACGAGCATTGAATGAACGTCCCCATTGTTCCCATCCGTCTTCTCCTCCTGAACTGAGGTCTCCGTGATGAAAAACGGGCACACCTCCTTGTGCAAAGACAATGATTCAATTCATAACTCATAACAGACAGTGGAAAAGAGCGCTTCCTAAACTCAGTCCTCCTCTTCGCCTGTTCGCCTAAAACCTTGCTTGCTTGGTCGCTTCCTTGCATAAGGCTGAAGTGCTTGAACCGCTATAGAACGAAGCTTAGCCCTCGCTCATATGCCAGAGATTCTGTTGGGTCCGTCCCGGGCCCCTTAGCTCTATAAAGACCTTTGAAACTCAAAAAAAAGATGGTATTATGGATTTCTGACCACATTCTCCAACCACTGGTTCAACGAGACCAACTGAAAGCAGATCTACGCTTCGAGCTGCCTCTCCCAAATCTTTTCTACACTTCGCTTCGCTTCGTTTGTACCTTCCACTTTGACTTCGACTATTGCTACTTCCTCGCCCGAGATCTCGAATTATTTTAAGAGACAGAGACAGCCCTTAATTAGCTTTTTCTCTATGACTTCACTTCGCTTCTAAAGTTGGGTAGACAAAAGACGACCACTTTGAGTAAGATAGCAGCCAATTAAAGAGTAGAACTCCCATTCCAATTCGAACTCCAAGTGTGAAGCAAGGTCAATTACATCGAACCAGATGCCAGGATTTGGATGAATAGCTAGTGTAATCCATTGAGAGGATACTCTTGCTTCTGTCTTCTAGCCTTCGCTGCTTTCATTAGTTAAGTTTTGGTTCTTACAAAGTAGCAATTAGGCTTGGACTTTGTACTTTTTCCACACCGGGAATTCTCTCTGTTGTTGTTTTTAGAGAGTGCAGGGGACGAAGTAGGCTCGACTAAAAGGAGAGGGGACGAAGTAGGCTCGACTAAAAGGAGAGGGGACGAAGTCTCTAACTGAACTGCGGTGACGTAGCTTCTTATGCTGCGGCCCATACCATCCTAGCTTCCCATACTTTTTCTACCGCTAATATGACTAGTGCCAAGATTGAGTCCGTCACAGTCGGATCTAATTTTAACAGCCGGAACAGTAACAATGAAAATGGCACCCTCTTTAGTGAGATTTTATGAGCAAATGCCCGAACCAAAATATGTTATTGCTATGGGAGCATGTACAATTACCGGAGGGATGTTCAGTACCGATTCTTATAGTACTGTTCGGGGAGTCGATAAGCTAATCCCCCATGGGCCCAAGTACTCTGGCGCTTGACACAGCCGCGGAAGAATGAACCGAAGGATTCAAGCGTGGAGTTCTTTCCCACTTATGTACTGGAGCAATACGGCATTGAGCAGGATTGCAAGCACTATTAGGGTTCCTAAGGTGACGGATGGGTTGACTGCGCAACGAAAGCGTATCTCCTTTGCCCTGGTTGAAGCAAAGGTGTTTGATAAATTGCCTGACTCAGTTGAGCTCCAAAACCCTATTAATGGTGTGATTTTCAAACAGCCTATTGAGTATGAGTGGAGGAGAGCAAAGTGAGTCTCGACCATACAAACGAAGCGAAGTGAAGTCCCGGAGAGGAAAGGTGTAATTGAGGCTCGACTGAAAGGAGAGGGTTAAAGCTCGACCCCACGGAGCGGGAGAGAAAGGAAGGCAAATCCGCAATACGTCAACTCACTCCGCCCTTCTCACTACTGCTTGCTCGCCCCACCTGTCTCATACCCGCCCGTGTGTTAGGAACATGAAAATCAGAGGTCAATGTAATCGAACGAAGTGAAGTCATAGAAGCGTTAAAACCTTGGTACCTAGCCCAGATAGCCGACCTAAACCTTTCCCTTTTAGTATGAGGAAAAGAAAGATAACAACCCTTGGGTTCCAAACCTGCTGTTGACCGAAAAGGAGAGATAGGGCGGGGCTAGGAGGGCTTCGCTAAACCTTTAGCTGCGGTTCGTGACTGATATGACCTTTTTTACCGAGAGGTTGGGATAAAAGGGCTCCTGGTGCTACTACTTTCTTTCTATTTCTCTATTTCTGCGCCTAGTTTCAATGATCATGATCAAAGAAAAGGCCGAGCCAGGAGGGATTCTCGGGCAGTGCCTGAAGGGGCCCCTTTAAGGGGTCATGAGGTCGTGGGATCTCCTTGGTTCTGGTACGATGTCGTCTGTTGACCAAAGGGACAAGAAGGCTCGATTACATTGACCTCGCTACTCGCTGTAGGGACCTAGAAGCGCCTTTTCCACGAGCTGCTGACAGATAGGTCATTTTGTACCCAGATCTTGAAAAAAGGGGCTCCAAGCTCATAGCTTCATAGCTCCAAGACATAACATTAGCTCATTAGTTAGTGCAGTCCTATTAACCATTCATCCTTGGTTGGTGCTCGGTATTCAGTCTAAAGTGCAAGGTCCTTCTTTTCTATGACTTCACTTCGCTTCGCTTCGTTCGTTGGGTCTTAGTTTTTAAAGTCTAAAGCAGATGAGGGACTAGCGAGTTCAGTTCTCTTCTAGTATGAGGACTAAATGACTTCGAAACTCTTAAGCCTGGAGCTTTCTTCTACGAGTTCATATTCTAGTAGCTCACTTCCTGGAGTGAGGAACGAAGTAACTCTTACTCGTCAACTGTAGCTTTTGAGGATCAGGTCAAAAGAAATTCCGTCCGAATAAATCGGGATTCCCGCTGAAAAGGAAAGAGGGCATCCTCACAAACTCACAAAGAGGCTACCGAAAGGCATAAAAACATAGAAAATCAGCAGGCTAACTTTTGAAAGCAATGGAATGACTGGTAGGCGATCTCAGGCTCGCTCGTCGTTGGGTAGTTTCCGAACCTTGCTCTTTCTCCAGCCTTTTTCCATCTCTCAATTACATCGACCCTTGGACCGAGACCGAAAGCAGCTGACTTGCTTGTTACATAAGATTCAAGATGAGAAATCCCACGAGAGCATAACCAGATTAAGGTATGGGGGAAGAGCTCCGAAAGCGAGGAGAAAGCATTAGCAAAAGGAATGCCTTCGTAGTGGGGGAGAGGAACGACACACGACTGCTCTTCTTTCCGTTAGGTCAGCTGCTCTTGGGATTAGACTCGCATCGGCTTATTTCCTTTCTCTAGACGAAACCTAGAAATCGATCACTGATCCAATTTGAGGGAAGGAGAAGGCCCTGTAGGGAGACTGTCTGGTCTTGCTATTTAGTACTAGCAGCTTGCATTCGATGCCATCGTCTGTACTTAGCATGCCTCCTGAAATCCTAATAAGGAGGAAAGGCAGAAGTGCCACAGCTTTTGCCTCCGTTTTTCACGCTCTTGCTCCTCTGATGTTCAAAATCTCTAAGAATCAGACTTGATCCCTTAGCTTAGTTTGAGGAATGAAGTAACTCGACTGAAAGGTACAAACGAAGCGAAGCGAAGTGAAGTCAAAGACTGTACGAAAGACCTGTCATCAGCAGAGCAGGGCAGTTCATCTCAATTGATTCTCCCGAGGGAATAATCATTTGAGTTCTTCGAGTGAAAGGATGGTGCGGAGAGCGGCGATCTAAACTCCACTAATAATAGAGAAGCCCTTCCTCTTCGACTTGGAATCCACCGAGAAGGCGGATCAAGCAAGAGCTATTCCGATCATAGATGGCAGCTCTTTACGTAGTTTCAGTTGTTCGGGTCTGCACTCCCTCTTCTTGGAACCTCCAAAAGACAGCCTACCATACCATCATTTCTTATTATTTGTAATGGTATCCTACCTACAGCGAGACCTCCTTTTCTTTGTCATCCAGGGGTGGACTCGGCGGATCTCTCTGCTAAGTCGTTGTTTGCAAAGGTACTCCATCTCGACTGGGATTAGTTTCATGCATGATAGTTTCACTTCACCGGAGTTAGTTGCCTTAGAGGTAGAAGTGGGCAATGAAGCTATTAAAAGAGGGTCATGCGCGGGCGAAGTCGAACAGAACCCCATCGACTGAGCATGCGTCGTCCTCTGGAAAGGGGCTTGAAGGTCTTGCAGAGCCTATTAAGCGGGCTAAGGAGTGGTGCTATGGGGAAAGCCCACTAAGGTATAGGCTATCCGGCATCATCTCGCTTTCAAAAAGGGTATCCATTCTTCGACTTGACCAGAATCACCTGAAATTGCTTCTAGTGGCCTCTGGCCAATTCCCTGCTTGCTTCAAGTCATTGTTAGCAATGGAGTCATTTCCACTCAACTCTGATGGATTAGTTGATCGCATAGACGCCCCTGGGAGTCTCATCATGTTTGCTTTAGAGTTATCTTTCTCGGTGATGGTTGAGGGACAGTGGCACAATGGCGATTGCACCCGATTGAGTGTGGAGAGGGGCCGTAAGTCGCTGAACCGCTACGCAGCGAATAGGACGAATGAAGGTGAGCCATACAACGGAGATAATGTAGCTACGCGTCATAACATGGTGCGTTGTTAGACCTCTGCTATTCCAGTGCTATCTTACTCTACGGGTTGTACCAAAAGCAGAGGGCTGCGCTATGCCACCTAAGACGAGTTGCCTTTTTATCATTAGTAGATATTTTTCGAGTTGAGAACTAATGATAGTAGTCCATCAGTCCTAGATTAAATAGCAGGGCATTCTCCTACAGCAACAGTAATAAATAGCCTATGCTCGTGTCTATTTTGACCGCTACCTATACTCAGTATCGGATGCCACCTTTACTAGAATGTGCAGTTAAATTCCTTCGGTCCGGGCATGCTCGGCATCTTCTTATCAGTTCCTTCAAAGATCTCACTGCTTAAAAAATATGAATCCACCTATTTTGAAGAGACACTCAACAAGTTTTCAGTCTTCAGGTATTTTTCTTGTAGCTATAGCTGCGGATTCTGTAACGGCTGCAGATTAGTCTATAACATCCACCCGTAGGTATCTTTACTCCTGATGACCGCCTATCTCTTAACAGACCCTTCGTCTTGTTCGCCAACTACAGCGGATATAAAGTCAGCTCTTTCAGATCCTCTCCTTTTAGTCGAGCCACTTCGTGTCCTTCTAGTTCGCCAATCGGTGATGCTCTTTCAGACTCTTCGCGGGGTCGGTTCAACCATCCCCTTTACGACATGATTCACTCCGTTGAGAAGCAGATTTCGAAGTGAAGTTCTCTTTCTTTACGTAGGGGACCCTCTTTTACGCCCTTTTTTGGAAAGGGATCCTAACCGCTTTAGTATGTAGCACCTGTCTCCTAACTGCCAGACACCTTTACTGACCCAAAGAGAGTGACTAAATCACATGTACCAGCTATTGTCTAACTCCTAAACTAGTAGGAAGAAATACTCATACCATGAGTAACACCCTTTAGAGGTAAATCAATCAAGCCAATCAAGAAGCAAAGAAAAGAAAAATGAAGACAAGCAAAATAAGAGAGTGTACACAACCACTACCTTATTCAACGAGTCTTTTCCTTCACTTCGCTTCGAAAAGTTTGTTTGGTCAAGATTGAACTTCTTTTTCTTCGCCACCGCCCTCTATCAATTCCTTTGTCGAGAAAGAAAGCAAGCTCGGGTGGAGGAGGAATTTAGTACCAAAAGCAAGCCGGTTCAGCCCCCCCTACTAAGCATACGTTTATTACCAGATCCGATAACAGCGATTCTCCGTCTCTGACCAGGAGGTCTCACATCTACAGATACCCAAATGCTAGCTCGCAAACTTCATAGTAAGTCGCTACATCATGCTTTTGAGGAAGCTCTTCGGCCCAACGAACGAAGCGAAGCGAAGTGAAGGCTCAATTCTTTCAGTTTGATGGGCGTGCTCTCGTTTCTAGGTTTGGATGTTCTTTAAGGGTCTACTATATTACGTCAATACATGAATCTCATCTTTCCAATCTCTTTATTCCCGCCCATTCCTCTGACTTGTTGCCTTCTATTCGGCTTCTACCCGGGGGTTACCTTATCGTTATCAACTGCTTTCAACCTTCAAAATGTTGTATCATGGGCTTGAGCCGCCTACGAGTATAGATTTCCCGTTCGGTACACATAGCTTTTCCTATCGAAGGATATAACCTCTCGCCTCTTCTGTGGAAGCATCCTTAGGGAGGTCAAGTCCATAGTTGAAGACTGGCCACAAGTACTGAGACAAGATCTAAAATCTTTGCAATTATTAACTTTTGGGATTTGTTCCCACTTCCGGGAATAAGGCAAGTAAGATATTTCACACAAGGCACCCACCTAGGAATAGGCGTTTTATGGATGATTCAAGCCCAAGGCGAGAACGAAGTAGCGATTGCTCGTCCAAATGGCACCTTCGAAAGAGAAATTTGAAAACTATGTATTGAATTAATACCTCAATCAGCCCTTGAACACCTTCGAAAGAAAAAAGAAAGAAAGCACCCATCTCAAGTGCCGGCTCTTCTCATTCGCCATTCGTGATGGTTCGTGGAAATGTCATAACATGCGTAGGCGGACTAGCCCAAATGGGAAGTCTAATCTTCTTTCTGCTTGCTTCGTCGTTGTGAAATAATCTTGTGTTACACTGGACAGAAATTCTTTGTCAATACCAATCTTGGCTTAAAGCTCTGCTCCCTTCGAGATAGGACTCAGTGGCCTCTTCAATGGTGCTACTTATGCAACTAGTTTCGGTCAGAAGATTGCACCTTTTGACCATCGCCCACATCCAACTCCTGGGCATTTTGATTCTTTCAATCTGGATTTGTTTCAGGCTTTACATATCCATTTTAATTAGAAGAAGACCAAACAAACTTTTCGAAGCGAAGTGAAGTCATAGAGGAATCTGGTCGAGACTCACTTCGCTCTCCTTTTCCGTTCTAATACTTTGATTTCAAATAGTTCCCAATCATAGATTCGGCGGTAGTGTTGCACATGGAAGGCTTGATTGAAATGCGCCCTAACTATGGACGCATATTCGCCGGGGCGCGTCTGTGGAGGTAGCCCATAGTACCTCTGGTTTTCTAGGACTGTGATTCGGCTAAAAATCTCAGCTTCATTATTCGCCGCGATCACATTTCGAAAGGTCGTTAAAGAAGTAATGAAAGGGGGGCGCGTTCGTTGTTGCCTGTATAGCTTTGACGAGCAGAGATCTAGCAACGCATTCTAGACACAGATCATTGGTATTGGATGTATCGTTAGGTTGTGCCGAGTCAAATCTGCTCCGTTTTTTTTTCCGTTGCAGAAAAGAGATCCCTTCCCCCCACTTTAAAAAATGATGAATATGAAGTCCGGGAGGCTGCGGGTACTATGGATCCTCTGACTCCCAATCGGGTTGCCTTCCCAGGTCTCGCCGGTCTTGCCTGTAGGTCGTGATGCGCCTTGAGATGGCCGTCTCCTGTCCCCCTGCCGGTGGGGAATCCGCTCCCGGGTCGTCGCTCTGCTGCGTCTGGCCCGTCCTCTAGGCACCTTTGGAAGGCAGGGAGTGTGACAACGTACACGCTTCCCTTTACTCCATAGGTCAATTGCATCTTTAGAAGTTCAGTCATAGACAGTTGCAGGGTTTGGTGGCCCGAAATTGACTTGACTTTGCCAAAAGGCCTCATCTCTAAAAGCCCGGCTCGCGAGGCGTCCCTCCCGCAGTAGGGTTCCAAACCTCGCCTCGCTCTTGTGACATGCTATCTTTCCCCTCTCTATTCCCAAGTAAGGGGTGAGTCCCATGCTTTTGTGGATCGCGGTCTCACACACTAATCCCTACAGGTGCCCGTAGTAGGCCGGCCGCCCTACCTAAACCAATCATCATATCGGTCCCTAAGCCCCATTGCTTCCAAGGCTCGGCTTCAAAACCGTACGTGGAGCTTCCACCTCATACGGCTCCTCTAGGGATGGAAGTAGGCCCAGCCCAGGCTTGTGCGGTTAAGGTTGTTGTACATACAGGCTATGTGCCAGAGTGCTCATCGAGATTCTCTCTCCTTCTGAAGACTTTGTCTTTCAAAGAACTAAAGGCTTGGGATTCGACTCCGCGCCGCTTTAGGTCTTCTAGAAGGTCATAGAGTCTCTCCAAGGACTGCTCTCCCGTGGCAGTCCGGGGATTATCGAGAGCGCGAGCCCCTCTTAGCTCCCAATCCCCCTCCGGGTCAAGGACCCCCATGAGCCTGATAATATCGACCTTGACCTCGAATAGGTCTTCGGCCTGCATTTTTGTCATTTCTATCGCTTCGTAAGAGGGAGAGGGGTATTGGGCCAAGAGTCTCTGCTGGATCGACAGAACAGAATCTCCCCCGATCACTTCCTCCGGTTCATACGGATAGGGGACTACGGGAGGGGTCCTATTAGATGGACCCGCTTCCTCCCCCCCGGGAGCGACCGGATTCGCACGTCAATTACATCGAACCTCCGGCTGATTGACCGACTCAATTACATCGACCCTCTGTTTCGGTTTCATAATTTGACTCCCCCAGGACCCTCGTCCACGATTCCGAGCCGGTGGAACCCTCAGATGGAACCATTTGGTTCCCGAAAGTCGGGCTCTCCGAATCACAAAAGTAAGATAGTGCCACCAAAAAAGAATCACACGACATCAAATATTTTAGATAAATAAAAGATAGAAGCAAGTGGAAGCTCCTCTTAAGGATTCTATGACTTCACTTCGCTTTGCTTCGTTCGTTGGGTCGAAGTCAAAAAAAATGCCTTTGTTCTTTTAAAAATTGAGTGCAATGAAAGGATTTTGCTTTTTTTCGTTTTCATTTCCTTTGGTTCATTCTTTGACTGCTCTGCTCCCCCCAAAAAAAAGAGAGACTTTCTTACTAAACGAGAGCTTTTGTTGGTTGTTGACCAGCATGATCAAAAGAAAGAAATGGGAGTTTTTGGACGTAAAAGTTGCTTTCTTATCTTATCTGGAGATCTTTCTAGTTGGATGAAAAGAGCGCTCCTAAAGATGCTGAATCAAGCGCACGTCTGCCACGAAATTTCTATGGATAATTGGGACCATGTGATTGGAAACTTGGTAGCCGCGAATTACATATCTTTCTCAGATAATGAGATCCCTTCGGAAGGAACTGGGCATATTTCGGCAAAGTGTAAAGGTTATGCAATAGCCAAAATCCACACTGGCTAAGTTGCCTGTTGAGCCATCATTCATTAAACCTAGCTATATGGTGGTAAGGGCTTTTGATGGCACTCGAAGGGAAGTAATAGTCAATGTGGAGTTACCGA